ATGTTCCCTGCAATATGCCTTATACCCTAATAGTATTTTCATGTAATCATTTCGCTTATATCACCAGTTGAAAATATAAATTGCCATTTCAGTAGAGTATTGTCACACAGTTTACCTTCAGAAGGAAAAAAAATAGAAATAATTGTGAATCACTTCAACACTCTTTTAATGTCTATTTTTACCGTTTTGCAAAAATCTTTTGTTTAAAATGTATTTTCTAATGACTTCATTGGAGAAATTGCCCTGGAGGAGTTATATAGTGTGATAGTGCGAGGGAGTTGAATTGTCAGATGCAATTGAAATGGTGTGAAACAACAGAGCAACCTGGGCTGATCACAGTAATTCACGCCTAACCAATTCCCCTGATAATACTATCAGCACTTACTAACTGAACAATATTTTTAAAAGTTCAGAGAATTGTATCATGATCTTTGCGATTCTTTTCCAAATTAGTAATTAAACTCCCACTCATCACCCCCTACAACCTCTGAATCAGAAGATAGTGGGTTCAAGACACACACCACGACTTTGATCTCATTGCCTAGGCTGACACCCCAGTGCAGCGTTGGGAGAGCTTTGTCAGAGGTGCTGATTTGGATAAGACATTAATTGAGGTCCTATCTGCCGCTCGACTGGCTCCGGCCTTCTGCATGTTCCGTTCTACCATTAGTGGACTTGCTTTCAGCCACTATGCCCCAAAACTCCGGAACACTCTTCCTCGATCCCTCTGCCTTGCCCCTTCCTTCCCCATCTTCACGTCTTACCTGAAGACCTTCCTATTCAACCATGCCTATGGTCACCTCCCCATCCCCTGGCACATTGTCGTGCTCAGCCATTGTCAAGCGCTCTGGGACTCTACCCTACATGAGGGGTGCTATCTAAATGCAAGTTGTTGTTGTTGCTTTGATTGGGAATTCTGTATACTAAGAGTGGCTGGAAGTAATTTACAAAACTGAACCTTTTAGGTTAATCAGAAGTAGTCTTGGATTAGGTGTACGTTTATCCAGAGTGTTTGCTAATGCAGTATTTAATTCCAGACAAAAGGCGAGCATGACCGAAAGTTTAGTTTCTTTTAATCTATTGAGTGCCAGGCCACAATCCAAGTCAATAAGTAGGCAGCTCTGCGTCACAGACTGTTACCATAACAATGGCACTCTGCCCTTGCTTGTTATTAGCATTTTGATAGTATTTTCCAGAGAGGATCATTAATATCAATGAAGAGGTCAAGAGGTATCATTCATGCATATTACATATCTGGTAAACATAAAAGCATGGCCCACCCAAAATAGGAGCACCATGAATATGAAAATTGCAACACACTGAACTCTCCAGTGAGTCTAGCTAATTCCCTTCCTCCATCCCTACAGTGAGATCTATTCCTTAAATGATGTGATGAGAGAAGTCAGCAATCACGCAGATAACTTCAGTACTAGCTCTTCCTCAATGTCCACAGCTCACTTTAGTTCCAAGTCTGTGGGTGGATTATGAACAAAGGAACCAAGCATGCAAAATCTACCTGATTTGCTAATAATCTGAAAATCACATCCCTGAAGATTTCTCTATTGTTTCTGCTTTAATTCTGCAGTGGGTTTTAGGAGTGAGTGACTGGTCGGGGGCTGAGAATGCATCATATGCAAGCGCAGAGTGAGTGAATCTGCTTAGTGACAGAGGGTGTGATATATTGTGTGGGAAGATTACACTCTGCTGAATGTTTGCGTTTGGCTGGCAACTTGTGTTAAGTCTGCATTTGTGGTTTGGATTTTGTATGTAGCTGAAAAATATGATTCATAGAAATGTATTCCGTACTCTGTATGCCTGCATTCAGGATACAAAAATATATCCTGCAAAGTGGCTGCCATGTTTACCACAGTCACTACACTTCTCAGTAATTACTTATGAAGCGGTTTCAGATAGTTCAACATTATAGGCACTACATCAAATACATGCACATTTTGTTAGAGGAATGAAAGCTGTTATCTCAACTATCTTCCCAAATTGCTTTAGCTGTAACATTTTAAAACCCACAGATTAAAAATAGAAAGCTAACCATCACTGCTAGGGAGAGGTGGGGGTAGTAAAATAAAAATTTCCATAGAAAGATTCTGATTGTATTTTCTGAAAATTGGATTTGTGTTTAGCTGGTTTTGAATCAGATGAAGCATTCTGAATATCACAGATTGATTTCTGTGAAAGTGACAAGATGAGATGAAATGTTTCCTGATGAGATCGTGGGCTACTAATTCTCTTCCTGTGGTTTCATAGCAGATGGATAAACTGTACTAGCAGATGCTCCTCCTACAGTGCTCACTTTGTTTTTCCTTTGAACACTTCTGGATGGTTAGCTGCTCAGGTCCAAAGAAATCATATTGCAAAATATGATGTAAATTGTGGCATTAACTGAATACCACAATTTACATCATATTTTGCAATATGATTTGTACAACTACAAAGATATTCTCCAACCTAAATAATGGTGCTCATGACACTGAACACATTACAGGGAGGGGGTTGGGGGGAATCCAACCTGGATCTAGATTTATTTCTGTAGCACTTCAGAGCATGCAGAATTTTGCAAATTGTTGAATTCAGTCTTAACTCTGAAGCTGTTTTTCTGTTATTCTTAAACAAATTTACGGCAAACCGCTGGGTGTCTGACATAAGTAGAAATCCATCACCAATGCTTAAGAGTATCCAAACTAAGCTGGGATTTCCAAGCATCCCACCTACACATGGAAATCCCAGAGATTGGAATGGAATACACGATCTCTCCCTAGGAAAGAAATCAAGCTAGTTAGTAAGAAAAAAAAGTTCATAATATTCATAGGTTATTTGTTACATAACCTATGGTTGTCAGTACTGGTGCATCTGACTGAAATATTAATGAGGTTAGAATTAAGGTGATGTAGAGAAGGCTAGTTAGTACTGCCTTTTGAGTACCATTGTATTGCAGTACCATAGCGCATGAGCTGAAAAGTTGCAAAACCATCTAATTCAGAGAGACGAGAATCTCCCTGGACCTATTGACAGTGCAAAGGTTAATATCCAGTGAATAAAACATGATCTGTGAAATATTAATTCCAGAATACTTGCATTACCACTCCACCATTGCATTCTGAGGACAATGAAGGAAATGCAGAGAATGTTATTCATGAATGTTGCTTCCATTAAATAGTTTTATATCACATGCAGATTACATGCGGATTAATGTAAATAATTGATCTTCAAAGAGAATGTTCAGTGTAAATGCTCTAAACATTCCCACATCCCACAACAAACTAACCAGCATTTAAAATGCCTTCAGTGGCACTGAAATCAAGCCACAAAAGAATATAATATATCCTCTTACCTCTTTACCAAATTCCTAAATAATTAATATTTAATGCCTTTGGAGAATACATTGTGAACACCCAGGGGATATGGTAATCTTAGAAAAATTTACACAAAATTTTCCAGCTCATCCTTCCTCCAACTGGTACATCTTTTGTTTTCTCAGTAGTCTGGTATGTACCATTGAGCCACATTTCCGCACTTCTCTATTGGCCCAGAACCTGCTAGAATATAGTTACCTCACCTGCCAGTTGTTGCCATCACATTTCCTCATGAGGAATGTTATCTCAGGATCTGCCTGACTGCACCGATTCATTGTTGCCTTTGTTTTGGTTTATCCGATGTGGGTTTTTCTTGCAATAAGGACACACTGCAAGAAAAAGATCTCCCATCCCAACACCCCAAAAAATGTTTAATAATTTAACTCTCCTCTCCATTTCACAAAAAATAGTTGGTCCATTCAATTTTGTGAGCAATGTGCATGTGATTTAATTAGTGCTGACTATCTTTCCCCTGTCTAAGTCACACTGAAAATAGCAGCCAGCTCATTTGTATTATTAATAACAATGGATATTTGGCAGCAATAAATCAGATAGGACATAATAATAATACAACAATCCTTGCATTTGATCTAGGACCATATTACGTCTTCGAGGTGTTTCAAAGCGCTTCTCAGAATATACTGTAAAGTGAATTGACTAGATATTTTGTGGGCGAAACATGTTGATAAAATGACTGACCATTGGTCTGCTCAGGTGGACATTAAAGATCTACTATTCAAAAAACAGTCTCCTGGCATACAATCCCACAGATAAAATGTGTATTTCAATTCATGGTTGATTGTGGGACATTGTTGTGCACAGATTGGCGAGCTGTCGTGTTCACCTGCAAAATACGGTCACTGTACTTTAGTCAAATCATGTGAAGCACTTTTAGAGACATCCTCATTATGTGAAAGGCACTGTGTCAAATACAAACGCTGCTGTGCGCAGTCGGCTGCTGCGTTTCGCCCACAAAATATTGCAGTCAATTCACTATACAGCATTTATCCTGTGAAGCGCTTCGAGACGCCTGGAAGACGTGATGAGGCGCTGTATCAAATGCAAGCGTTATCACTATTACTGTCAAGCGCTCCCTGTGCGAAGGGCACCATATAAATGCAAGGTATTGCTGATGTGATCTCTTCTCCCTCGTTCGCCCTCCCTCGCTCACACTCTGGCTTCGCGGTCACAAGCATTCACTCTCTCCTGAGTCTCTCTCTTTCCCCTCTCCCTCTCTCTATCCCCTCTCCCTCTCTCTTTCCCCTCTCCCTCTCTCTTTCCCCTCTCCCTCTCTCTTTCCCCTCTCCCTCTCTCTTTCCCCTCTCCCTCCTCCCCTCTCCTCTCTCTTTCCCCTCTCCCCCTCTTCCCCCTCTCCCCTCTCTCTTTCCCCTCTCCCTCTCTCTTTCCCCTCTCCCTCTCTCTTTCCCCTCTCCCTCTCTCTTTCCCCTCTCCCTCTCTCTTTCGCCTCTCCCTTTCCCCTCTCCCTCTCTCTTTCCCCTCTCCCTCTCTCTTTCCCCTCTTCCTTTCCCCTCGCCCTCTCTCTTTCCCCTCTCACTCCCTCACTCTCACTCACTCACAGCAGTGGCTGAGCCCAGTCCAGCCCCCGGCACATGCGCAGTGGGGGGCGGGGAAGGGAGGGGAGGGGAGGGTCAAGATGGCGGCCGGGGTCTGGGGGAAGCGGCGGCAGCTCCTGGGGCTCGCGGCTCTGCTCACTTGGCTCTCAGCCCCGGCAGCGCTGGCCAAGCGGAGCCCGGTCATCGTCATCACCGACCAGAACTGGGGCGAGATGCTGCAGGGCGAGTGGATGATCGAGTTGTAAGTGCCGGGGGGGGTGGGGGTGGGGGGAGGCCTGTGATTTTACAGCCTGTTCGTGGGTAGTGAGGTCTTGGCCCTCACTCTGAGCCCTTTTTCCTGTCGCTGTTCACCTTCGCATGAACTTGTCGCCATCGTCGCCATCGTCGCCCTTTTTGGACTATTTGATAGACAGAGCCTCTCGTGTCAACTTGAGACGTCTCAAAGCGCCGCTTCTCACTGAATATATATATGTATACCGTCAAGTGAATGAACTGTATATTTTGTGGGGTCCAGACCTTACGTCGGCAACAACGGCCGCACGATGACATCCGTTATGGCGCCGCTCACGTCGGGAGGACGTCCCAAGGCGCAAGACAAGAGTACAGCATTTCAGACCCCGAGCTGGGGTTGGGGGGGGAGGGGAAGGGGGACTGGGGGATGGAATTCCAGAGGTTGGGGGCAGAGTGGCTGAAGGCTCTCCCGCCAATGGTGGGGCGGGTGGGTCGGGGCAGGTGGAGCAGACCGGAGACGGCTGAGCGGTGGGAACGGGCGGGTTGGTAGGGGGTTAGGAGGTCGCAGAGGTAGGGTGGGGCGAGGCCGGGGAGGGCTTTGTATGTGAGGACCAGGATCTTGAACTGGATCCTCTGAATTTCAGGTTAAAATGTATGTAAAATCGGTTGCAGTACTCCAGCAGCCTTTCCTCCTCCTCCTACCCCCTCACACCCCTCCTCCCCAGAAACCTGCCTGGGGTAAAAGTCACCAAAGTTCTTCTGGTGTGAGCACGTGTATTCCTGACAGTGCGTTTTGTTATTTCAGGCCCAAGGGGCAGAGCAGGGAGGATGATGATAATAATAATAATCCTTGCATTTGACATAGCGCTTTTCACATCTTCTCGACATCTCAAAGCGCTTCACAGAATAGACTGTAAAGTTAATTGACCGTATATTTGTGGGCGAAACGTGACTCTCCAGTTTTAGAGGGTTGAAGTTTTGGTAATGATTAGAGAAACTCGGGCTCTTCAGTCTGGTAAGATGATATCTCAGAGGGGACTTTATAAAGGAGTATACATTTGAAATGGGATTGAAAAGTAAACACAGAACAATACTTTAGGATGCATGAACAACAACAAAATTACATTTGTATAGCGCCTTTCACGGTGGGAGAACGTCCCAAGGTGCTGGACAGTTAGGGTTTTGGATCCTTGGGATTGGGGGTGGAGGGCAGGGTGGGAAGCAGGGAGATCGAAAGCACGGTCGAAGAGGAGTGTCTTGAGATGGGTCTTGAGGAGGCAAGGGAGGGGACGAGGCGGAGGGACTGTGGAATGGAGTTCCAGAAGGTGCGACAGAGTGGCAGAAGGCCCGCCTGCCAATGGTGGGGCAAGCGGGACGGGGGATGTGAAGCAGGCCGGAGCCCGCTGAGGGGAGGGAGCGGGCAGGATGGTAGGGGGTTAGGACAGTTGAACAAGACGACATAGGTTTAGGGTTGCAAAGGGCAATTTCAGGACCGACACATGTAGTTTTTTGCCCAGAGGGTAATTAATGGTGGACCAGGTTGTCAGGAAGAGTGGTTGAAGCCAGCACTTTAGACTCTTTATTTTTTTTAAAAATGTATGATTCTGTGATGGGAGCACTGTACAGTAGACTGGATATTCTGGAAGGATGAGATCAGATCTCATCAGATCTGCCTTCGTCATACAAACTAATCTTTTGATGTCACCCCCAGCTATGCCCCATGGTGCCCTGCCTGCCAACAGCTTCAGTCTGAGTGGAGCGAGTTTGCCGAGTGGAGTGAAGACCTGGGTATCAATGTTGCTAAAGTGGATGTAACAGAACAACCAGGTATTATTTGCACAATAATGGTAAACCTGGGTGCTGAAGAGCATTTTGCTGTATATATTTAAGTATGCCTGTCCACTGAAGAATTGATCTGTTTTTGACAGAGAGGGACTCTCAGCTGGAAAGTCTCTTAAAGCATTTTACTTTGTTCACAAGAACTACTTGGATCTTTGTGCAGAACACAGGAATATATTACAACAAAAACAGAAGTTGATAGGAACACTCAGCAGGTCAGGCAGCATCTATGCAGAAAGGAAAGTGAGTCAACATTTCAGGTCCATGATTCTGACGAAGGGTCGTGGACCCGAAACGTTGACTCACTTTTCTTTCTGCATAGATGCTGCCTGACCTGCTGAGTGTTCCCAGCGACTTGTTTTTGTTTCAGATTTCCAGCATCTGCAGTATTTTGCGTTTTGTTTACACAGGAATATATTGCCTGCTAAAGTTTTAAGATCTATTAATATAACCAATTATTTTGAGGAGAAAAGAATTTACACTGCTGGAAGTCTGAACTAATCAAAATTGCTGGTTGATCAGGATCTGAGATCAGAATCTGAGGGAGAAAGTTAGTTTGGGGTCATCCCCTTCATTAACCATAAATAGCAATTTTTGGAGGCTAGTACACTGGAATTCCCTTTAAAATCCTAAAGTTAGACAAATATTTCTTAAAATTCTCTTTACAAAACTAATTTAGCAAGTGTCTTCGAAAAGGAATGTTTAGAATAAGCTGTACTTCACTGGGATATTTATTGAATATTTGTGTTTAAATTATTGTAGAGACACCAATTTGTAGAGGCACTGTGTACTGATAAGTTTCCATGAATTTTAGGTTAGAATAACAAAATGTCAACATTAAATATTACTCATTATTTATTTCCTGTTATGTTACTTACCAACTTTTTTTTAAAAACAGGCTTAAGTGGACGCTTCATAATTACAGCACTTCCCACTATCTATCAGTGAGTATCCAACCCTTCAGTACAAATAGCTCAGAAGGAATGTATTAAAAATACCTAACTTCAAACACTTTTTTTGCACAGTCACAAAATAATGATGCTTATCTATGTATTTAATTCTTAAGTGTAACATTCTCTTTTCCAGTTGTAAGGATGGAGAGTTTAGAAAGTACCAGGGCCCAAGAATGAAGAACGATTTTCTTGACTTTATAGATGGAAAGAAGTGGGAAACCATAGAACCCGTTTCCTCTTGGTTCAGACCTTCCTCGTTTATGTAAGTTCAAAATACTATGTTTTTTTTTGTTTATCTAAATGTTTCTGTTTTAATTTAATTGAGGGCTTGCATTTCTCTTTGTGAGTTATTTCAATTTCTTAACCCTACAAAGCCCTCCTAAATATTAAGAAAATCAAATCAAACTCAATGGGGAAAATCAAACTCCAGTTCATTATATTGAGGTATCATAACTCTTTATTCATGGATTCATCACTTTAAAAAGTTGTGTCTACTTTTAATCCTAAAATATGAATCTTTACTCTTTATTATTGTTACAGGATGGCCAGCATGTCAGCATTATTCCAGCTATCCATGTGGATCCGTGTAAGTTGTTAATGTCTTGTTTCTGAGATTAAAATTGTGGAAAAGCAACCCTGGGAAGAATTGTAGTGTTTTGTTCAAGCTAATTTGCATTGGTGCTATAACTCATGCAAGCTGACATGCTTGATTTCTTCTCCTCTCCCTCCCAGTGGGATTTACTTGGCTTGAGTCCTGTGTGTTCCACCTCCCTTTTTGACAGTTTGTTATAAATCGAGAATACTGGGTGGGAACCTGTGTTCTATCTCTGTGTCTCACACTGTGTTAGTGCACCAACCTCTACTGCTTTTGCCATTGGATTGCCATTGAGACACCTTTTAAAATGGAATTCTCTTTGCAAAGTATCATCACTTGCTGTGAGGATTGGCATTTGACCTATTCTTGTGCTTTGGCAATGCTGCTGTATAATTAGCTGAAAATGTATGAAAGTAGTCATGGCAACTCATTTCCCTTTGTAAGGAAAAGTGCACGACTTGTACACAACAGCCCACTTAAGATTAAAAGAAATGAATGAATGCTGGAAACTCAATATAAGCAGGAAAAGCACGGGAGGTCAAATGGCATCTAAAAGAGAAAGCTCAGTTAATGTTTAAGGAGTGACCTTTTGTTGGAATATTTGAGATTGGGCAGACAACGTGTGAGCTTGTTCAGAAATTGAGCAAAATGGGAACCCTGACGTTAAATTATTTGGTGAGGATATATTTTAAGTTTGTAACTTTATGGGTGATTCGGCTTTAAATATTTCTTAATGTGTTTTTGGAAGTCAGTACAATAATATGAATTTGGAGTAGCAGAGTGTTTCCCTGATGTACAAGAATAACATGGTGAATAACATGTACATATTAAAATCGGAGTCATTAAAATTAAACTACCTCAGGGATGTCCTATTTTATTGGGATGTAATAGCATTTCTACAGACAGTGACTTGTAGGCACATAAGCCCAAGCCGAATGAATTATACAGACTAAGTGAAATAACCTAAGTAGCGGATGACCTTGTAATAACCTGATGTTTTGAGTCCATAAAACTAGACCACTTGTTATACTAGATTAGTGGGAAAAAAAGGCCGCTGGACTGGAAGTCACGTTAGCAGAGCGTGTAACAACAACAAAATTACATTTGTAACACGTGTGTACATGTATAACACATAGAAAGAGATGTAACTTGAAAGTTGGCTGTTTTTGTACACCTTACTATAACATGGTTGTGAGATATTGGACCCAACAGATTATGTTATAGGGATGTACGTCTCACTATTCTGTTTTCAGGTTATAGTTGTGATTCATTTATAATTTGTTTGAAGTTAATCTGTATTAATGTGCATTTTCTTTTAGCACTGCCATAATTACTTCACTGAAGACCTTGGTATACCTGTTTGGGGATCGTACAGTATATTTGCTTTGGCAACACTTTTTTCTGGTCTTGTGCTTGGATTGGTAAGATCAGACATTTATATTTTAAAAAATAATTATATTTAATTATCCTTGCATTTGGTATACATGCATTTCACTTCAGGAAGGTGGATTGACTGCATATTTTGTGAGCGAATGAGGCAGCCCATTTGTGCATAGCCCATAAACAAGTCCCATAAACAGCTATGAAACAAATGACCTGTCCCTTCTCTTTTCGAACATTGCCGTGGGATCTTTAATGCCCACCTGAACAGGCAAATGAGGCCTCAGTTTAGCGTTTCATCTGAAAGACGGATAATTGTCATGGTAATAGTTTAGACATTTGTCACAGACTTTTTTTATAAATGGTATGAATTATACTGATTAGTGAAAAGTTAATTCAAAGAAATAAAGGAATGATTATTTTTAGATTCTAGCATAATGTTGTTAAGGATCCTTAAAACCTCTTCAACAGTCCCTATTGTGAATTTATTTTATAGAATCTAATTCTGCATCTTTTTCAGATTCTTGTCTTCGTGGCAGACTGTATGTTGCCATCTCGACGATTTAAATACCAACCACACTGTTCTCAAAGTGAGCTCCATTTTTTTATATATTCGCTGCGGCTTTTGTAAGTTTCCGGAAGCTAATGGTTTGTTTCTGAACCTCACAGTGTTTCTGAACCAATTGAAGGGCAGAAATGAGCTTTGAAAAATGAAATACACTTCGGATTTTAGATGAATCATATTTAAGATTTTAATGCATACTTTGGAAGAACCTGTCCTGTGGTTAGCAAATCCATCAGAAATTTAAAAATAGCGTGATTAACGTGTCTTGTCAATGTGCTTGATTTGATCTTAGAAAGTGCAATAACATGACGAGGAAACTGTTGCAACTACAGTTAATTAATTGTGCAACTTGTGTTTTAGGTTGTGTGTTAAAAATGTCCAATTTTTATTCTGAGTGAAAATTCCAAGGTTTTACTTTATTTTTAAAGAAAAAACGCCCGGACCAAAGCTACTGAAGCCAAACGATGAGCCACTAGAGAACGAAAATCCGTACCCACGAACAAACGTGAGCAATCGCAAAGTGTTTGAAAAGAGTCATATGCAGGAAGCCGGAGATTATTCACCAAGGACTCTAAGAAAACGTGGAGCGGATGACTCTTGAGCTGCAAAACAGACTAAAAGAGAAAGTCTTGACTGAAGCTACGGTGCTGATGTAAGGCACTGTACTGAGGGATTATGAAGTGGATCAATTGACCAAGGCAAACTACACTAAACTAGTGTGAGATCAGCTGTGGCAAGTACGCTGAATATCAGTGCTGTGCTAAGCTTGCTTTCGTTCCTGCAGGCTTTGCTATGAAGCTGAGATGCTGGTGATATTGAACTTTGCATGCTCCTTTAAGTCTTCCACATTTACCAGGTTGATATTTGAGCTGATATTTGATATCAAGTCTTTTTGGTTGTAATGTTTAATGGAAGACTTGGAAGTGTGGCACTTGAACAATTGGAGTAAAGGGATGGTAACCTTCACTGATTTTCATAAATCAAATCTTCCACGCTACTCGCTAAAGATTTTTGCTTTCCAAAACTTCAGGTTTAAAAATGGCCTGTTGGCTAAGTATACATGTTAAAAGAATAACCAATGTCTAAGGTGCAACAGCAAATAACTTAGGCGTGCAATGCTGCAGAACCTCATTTTTGTTTACCTTTATTTCAATATACAAAAGTCTAGCTGATATTGTGAGAAATTAAAGCAGGCATTAAAACATTGAGAATTTCAATTCATGGAATTATAGTGCTTAAATCAAATCTTATAACCTTGCTCTATAATTTTCTCAAAACCTTCTTTTCCTCCCTCACCTCATTTACAAGGCTCAACATTCCTGTTTATTGTATCAAAATATCTTTTTACCTTGAACCTTAAATTCTTGCTGCTATACAGAGTCATCATACAAAAGCCTGGTCAAAATAATACCACTCATTCATGAATCTTAAAATAACTTTTAGAATAAATATTTGCTCTCATCTCACCCTCTTCAGCAATTTGGTTTTATGATGGGATCACAAAGTGTATAATCAAAGTAGAAAGAAAGGAGGTTTTATATTTAGACTTAAAACCAATTTTGGATCGTCCTTAAATAAATGCATCATATACAGTAGTATGACACTGAGCCATCTTAGGTTTAGAAGGGCACAGGCTTGATCTCTGCTGAGATCGCTGAACACCACTATGGTGCTAAAGGCTTTGATGCCCCTTCAATTGGCTTTGGTGCCCCTAGAATGTAAAGGGGGGAACAATCAGCCAGAGTGTTTACAGAGACCATCCCCCCCAACCCCCGATCCCTGTAGAGTGACTAGCTGGAAGCTTGCATGTGAATCGGAGTGGGCTTGGTTGCAGTGATGCTCACTGTCCATTGTACGTCTAACGAACAGCCACTTATTGGAGGCCTGGATGCATCCTGTGAGATACATTGTAGCACAGGTGACTGAATTAGGGTAAGGGGGAACAAAATTAAATGAGTGCAGTTTTCACCAGATGAAGGGTATTTATTATCTCTGATTAGCCTCTGTAAAACAAAAGGATGAAATGTATAAAGACAAAGTTTCAGATGAACTGGTATCTAACACTATTATACAAATAGTACATCAGACATGTTTGGATTCTTGCTTAGATGTTTCCATCAGTGCTAAATAAACCTCATTTGAACAGGGCTTTTGGATGTATTTTTTTCCTTAATATTTTACCATGTTTATTTCTGGACAGATCTTCTGAATGTACACATGACCAGATCTTTGAAAATCCTTTTATGTAGATTTGGGATGGTCAGTTAGTAATTCTGTACTTTTCATTCATTTGTATTTAAAATGTACCTTAAGAATCCCATGTATGTCACATCTCCTGATTTATGTCAGTATGTCAAATCTGCCCTTTAATCATACTTCAGGTTACTGAAATCCTTCATTAAGATGTACCTTTAAATTGGACTAACTATTTCATTTTGACTATTACTGAGTAATGTGTATGTTTCTTATGGATAAAACAGAGCCATTAACTTGTTTAGCCATTAATTTATGAACGTTAACTTATTATTGGACATGCAGTATTACCATCATGTGGACCTAACCCTTACAGTTTATGTGGGTCTACCTTAGTTTTAAGCTTGGAGTTCTTGAGTGTTTTTTGTGGGCTGTTTACAAAGACAATTCTAACTGAAAATGTTTTTTTTAAGCAGCTTTGTTTGAGCTGTGTATTTCCTCTGGTCAATTGGCGAACGCTTAAGATATTGATTACAGTAAATATTTTGAGGACTATTTTGTCTCTTAATTCACATAAATTTATTTTTTCCCATACATTTTGGGTCTGTTTTCATTCGATCATCTACAAATGTTTTTAAAATTTCAGTTCAGTTTTCGTAAAACCACCGTTCAAAATGGTCTTGGGAGCAGGGCTCCTTGTGTCAAGTTGTCATGATTGTCATGGTACTTTGCCACAAAGAGAAGCATAAATGTATTTTAAGCTTTCTCATCTAAAGTGAGTTAGAATGAGCCACAGAGCACCCTTGAAATCTACTCACTGCAACAACAAAGAATATTACTCATCTGCAAAGTGTACAGATGGCAAATATCCCATATTGGCAAACAGTGCCTGAATATATCATCCGTATCTACAGGGGCTGCAGGAATTTGCAGTCAGTGCAATAGGAGGATGTGGCTGATCTTATTCTTGGTTTTTGAAATTCTTGGTGCTTTTCTATAACTTTAAAGAACCAGGCACATAATAGTTTCTCAACATCACAGCAGAAAAAAATAGGCACACAAGACATTTCTGTTTTTGAAATGATCTGGAGGGGTTATCTTTGCTGCACTGCATCAAAGAGCTTTACAAGGCAACCAAACTTCAACTGTTATAATACGTTAAGATAAGTTGTGTTGAATTGGTGAGAGTTTTAGGCTGTTGCACAATCCTTAAGAATTAAAGAATTAAATGGTATTCTGAATATTGCAGTGCTATGCTTGGAATGATGGGAAGCATGTTGTATTCCCTCATTCTACTGTATTGCTGCAGGCAAGCACTGCTATGTGGGGGTTGGAAGTTTTCCCAGATTAAGAGAGTCTGGAATATCTGATGGGATGTTCCACTGATGTGTTCTAAGATGGTCTTTCTGTTAGTCAAGAATCACGTTTGATTGCAGCTTGTACTTTGTAAATGTTTTGAATCCTCTTCAAGGATCTGCTATAACACTCCCAGAATTCTAATTGGCAGTCCACAAATAGAAATTCTAATGAATGCAACTTGTATGTTTTAAAGTGTTTTCAAATATTCCAAATTCAACTTTACATGAGCTCTACAGTAGGTTATATTTCAAAAAATATTAAAAATATATTCATTCCAACTTACGCAATGTGTTCTGATATGTTCTGATACAGTAGTTTTATTTTTCTTCTATAATAAATATTACCCTTTTGTGTTACTGTTTCATCAAAATGTATCTGGGTGAGAACTTAAATCAACTACTAATCACAAATCTCTTACTATTTAGTTAATATTTCAAATGCTGTTATGGTATTCGATTCAGTGCATTATTTTAATCCTGAACCAAGTGTTATCTTTATGTGCGAGACTGAAAAGTTTCAACTCTGTTATGAATGTATATAGAAGAAGAGCTGTATTTTTCCTCCCGGTAACTTTTTTCAATAAAGATTTCAGGTCATTGAAGTTTGGATGGCAACTTCTTTCAAAGAGACAGCACAAACAGTGGGTCGAATCACCTTCTTTTGTGCTATCAAGTTCTATGGTTCTACATTTTGACACTTTACATCTAAAATCTCCAGGTTACTGGAGGTGGAAGCTATTGCATTATTGGAAGGAATTCAGTTTTTTTTACAGTTGTAATAAAGTTGTAGATTTAATCTTTTATTTTAATACCTGAAGTTTGTGAGGGCCAAACTAAAACACCGAATCGAACAAAAGCACCTGATTCTCCTTAGAATCTCCTGATTTTACTGTAACTACTGAAGCATATCTGGAAGCCAAAGAACCCTTAAGCATATTTGGAACACAATTGTGCAACATTCATAACCATTGCAATCAATGGGGTCTGGCTCACTTCACTTGCATTGCAGAAATGCGCAACTATATGAATGGACTGAAAATGAGCACAGATAGCGAAGTGCGCACGGAAAAAATAAAATGTGGCTGAGAAAACCTGCTAATAGAAGTGGACTTTTAAAATAACGCAAGTGAACTCCACCTGCTCTTGGCACTTGGTATTTTAACACCAGTTTTCTCAAATGTAATGCTATTTGAACACAAAGAAATTAAGCGCTATTTTTGTTATTTCCGTCTGCATTAATAAAATCCATGTTATAAATACTGTGGTAATTTCCTGTTACATTTTCAATACTTTTTTTTAAGCTTAACCGGGAACATTTTTTAAGTGTTTTTGTGAGTGCAGTAGCTCATAGTATAGTGCACAACAGCCACCAGAGGGCACTAAGGTGTTTACAAATTGTTTTGAGTCCTGATGTGCAAAAGTTGCAACGGATGAAATTCTTATAATTTAGTTGCAAGTTATATTGTGAGAGGGGAAAGGATTGAAGCAATATTTTATATCTTTAGTAAATATTTTTATGTTTTAATTAATGTAACCAACATACCAGAATGCCTTCTGCCTATTTTTACCCATGTTGTGTTCTCATTTCTGTTTGGATTTCTATAATATAAACTTTATTTTGATTTTGTATCAACTGAAAAACCTAGATCTATTCTCATTTATATTGAGTACATTTTCTGGTATTATCCTGGACACTTATGATCGAATTATAGGTGTGGGAAACAGAGTGTCATGATGTCACGGTTTATCACAGTTAAAGATGTGAGTGAGATATTGTTAACAATAATTCTATCATCTTAAAAAAATATATTTTATATTTGATTAGCTGCTGCCTCATGCTCCTTTGACTTTTTAAAATCATGCAATTATTTGGAATGAAATAGTTTCATCACACTTGTCGCCCATAATTCTGATTTGAAAAGAGATCTCAAACAACTGGAAACTAAGGGCACTGTTTACTTTGTCTAATACCATTCTTGGTCTAATTCTTGCTGCCTACTATTGGGCAGCTTATGAGCCAAATTGCAGCGCTTTGGGACGTCCTCCTCCTGACGTGAAAGGCGCTATACAAATGTTATATTGTTTTTGTTGAAAGCTTAATAGCTGGAGCTGAGGAGTCTATCCACAGTTACCTGGTATAAACTGACAGTAAATTGCTTCATATTGTCATTCAAGCCGCACTTTGATGGAATCGACATCAATAAATAACGAGAAAATGGAAAAGTGACTCACTGAATGCAAACCTCCCTAGGTCAAAGAAGAACAAGATAATAAATAAGATAATTGGGAGTTAAAAAATAATGTTTTTCTAGAAGACCTGTTAGTATGTTTCACTTATTTATTCATGAAGGACATTCCATTGTGAGGCAGAAACACAGCCAAAAGCTCTTTGACCCTAGGGAGGTTATCCAAGCTGATAACTGCTGCCTATTGATGTCTGTACTGGTAACAAGGATGAATGGAAGATTTTCTTTTCAATAAATCATTTTGTATGTTCTATACCACAAAGTTTTGAGAATAAATATAACATTGATGAATATTGTAAAGTAAAAGTTTTACACTTTTCAAACCTACCGGCACATTAAACATGTCCACTTCAGAAGCAGCTTGGGTGAGTGGAGAATAATCCTATGGTTCATTAGCACTAAAGGACCAGAAGTGGAAGGTATTTCTTTTAACAATGTTTGACCTTATTTAATCTTGACGCGAGATCTAGCTTCTGACATCTAAATAACTTGGAAAGTTACCAGTCAGGCATTCATTGAGTCAGAAATCAGTAATGGTTAAATTATCAGGATTTAGTTTGGTATGTTATCTGGAAGATTAAGATGGGGTTGTCCTGTGCAGCAAAGCAATATAGTAACTCCTTACTGGAAATCAATATTGCAGAATGCATTTGGAAGGAGGGAAAGAGGAGGTGAGGATAGGCAGAAGCTGCAGGAACTGGGTGCTTCGATCGTGCCTTCGGCCACCCTCCTACCCTCCACCCTCCCTGATCCCAATCACCCTGCTCGGGTCCAAATCCCTGACTGTCCAGCGCCTTGGGATGACCTCCCAACTTGAAAGGCACTATCTAATTTTGTTTGGTATTGTATTATACCAAGCCTTTTGTCAATAGGTAAACCTGATAATACACACCAGATCATCTTTGCTCTCCCCACCCTGTGCGGCTTACTTTTTGGGAGACTTTTTTGGGGATAGTAACAGAGTAAAACAATCACAAAGGAAACCATATTAATGACTGAAATTGTAACGATATATAAGGAGGACCTTTGGGTTGATCTGTAGCAGAATGAGAAGTGACTAGTTTGCGTTAGGCTGTTTGCCACTTTTCTGTTCCCTCCACTATCTTGGCAGGAACTCAGTTTCAGGAAAGTCCATGCAAACAATGGCATTCTTCCTTCAGCTTGTAAGATCTATGAAATGTGTCTTAATTATTGTAAAATAATAATAATCCTTGCATAATCCTGTAGCTCAGTGGTTAGAGCACTCGCTTTGCAAGCGAGAGACCTGAATTAAATTCCTGGCAGGGCGAAACCTTGGGCAAGTTTCCTTACTCCACACAGAGCCTAATAATAATCCCTCCAAAACCAAAAACAATAATAAATTGGTCATTTTCAATCTACGACTGTTTGTGGGACATTGCTGTGTGCAATTGGCTGCCGCGTTCGCCCACAAATATACAGTCAATTCACTTTACAGTGTGTTCTGTGAAGCGCTTTGGGACGTCCTCCCGACGTGAAAAGCGCTATATCAAATGCAAGGATTATTATTAATCCTTGATATAACGGTTTATGGCTTCGAGACGTCTCAAAGAGCTTCACAGAATATACTGCACAGTGAATTGACTGTATATTTTGTGGGCAAAATGCGGCAGCCAATTGTGTACAATGGTCAGAGAATCATAGAATTATAGAGCACCGAAGGAGGCCATTCGGCCCATCGTGGCTGTGCTGGCTTTTTTAAAAGAGCTATCCAAATCAACCCCACTCCCCCGCTCTTTCTCCATAGCCCTGCAAACTTGTCCTCCCAAAGTGGCCCACAAACAGTCGTAGATTGAAATGAACAATTTTTTTTGAAGGAATTATTACCCCCTAGAAAAAGCAATCGACTAATAACCAAGTTCCTATTTCCTGCTAGGTAAACAGAAGCATGTGGAGTCAGGAAACTTGCCCAACATTTTGCCCTGCCAGGAATCCAACCCAGGTCTCTCGCTTGCGAGGCAAGTGCTCTAACCACTGAGTTACAGGAGTTAATCCCTTGGGTACACAAATAATAAATACTGTATACAGCATATATCAATACTTGTCTTAAAAATATTCTTATAATATCCTTATTTTATTCATTTAATTGATTAGACACAATGATATTGCTGCAACTAAGGAGTGAAATGCATTTGATCTCTTTTGTTTACCACGGAATGTAACCTCTTAAAAATCAGCTCTTATTTTTCAGATGATGCACAGGCTTTGATCAGTTCCCTACTAATATTGGTATAGAAATTGCTGCCACTTGATGTCACTAGTTCACCGAATAACACAGAACTGGAGAAAATTTTCAGAGTCTGACAAAGGCTTTCACCAACCATGTCACTTCGCTACGTTAAGGATTTTGAAGCCTTTGATAGAGAATGTCCACTAGCGATTTCCTGAAGAAAGTAGGTTGATTTGGGAAAGACCAATAAAGGCACCTGATCTCAGCTGATTGCAGACTGAAGAAAAAATGGTCAAACAAAAATATAGCACAGAAACAGGCCGCTCGGGCCAACCAGTGGCTGTAGGTATTTATACTCTGCATGAGTCTCCACCCATTCTTTACTCCTTCCCATATCCTTCTATTCCCCTCTCTCTCATGTGAAGGGCTAGCTTCCTCTTGAATGCTTCTAAACGCTGAATGATCCAAACACTGCTTTAGGCAGTGAGTTCAGCAATGATGTCAGCTCGTAATCCTCAGGAAGTTGTGAGGGATATGTATAAACCATGACCTTTAGGTCAGTGAGTACAGTGAGAATTTTGACCTGATCTATATACAATATGGTAGATATTTTTGCGTTGTTTTTACTATTGATGCAGATTTACCTTTTCTGCATTTTAATAAATATTTTGTAAACGCAGCATAGGAATATCAATTTGCATTAATTTTGATCAGTTAGATAAACTGTTTAGTTGATTAATTGTAGAAAGTCATTTGACTTAGTCAATGATGCATCCAAAACGTTGAGCGAATCTAGAAGGCCCTGACCTAAATCAGTGTCACAGTGAAGCTCAGTGCGTCATTTGGGAGCAATAAATTAAAAAAAACCTGCTGTAGTGAAGGATGTGTTCTTAGACAGGATATTTCAATGCATTTTGTTACTCAGGAAATCATAAACAATATTTATCAGCTTTCAGAATCAGTATGTCAGAATAGCAATAATCAAAAGGAAGAGTGATGCATACATGAGGGAGGAGTGAACAGACGGGTCTGGGAAAGAGGATAGGAGGGGTGGAAGCTCATATGGAGTATAAACGCTTGCATAGACTAGTTGGGCCAAATAGTCTGTTTCTGTACTATTGCCACTGTTTCACTACTTCATTGTGCTGCCAGCGACTTATCAA